AAACTGTAAAAACCCTGAGTGAAACCCTGAATTCAAATCCCACGCCACAAAAAACGAAGGAAAGAAAAGTGTGTGTGGGGGGGTGGGGGAACCCACAACACTCTCCCTATCTTTACAAATTGTCTTTATGGTATTTTTCAATATTTAGCTAACCCTGTATAACTCTGCCTTAGCCTTTACTTCTCGTTTACATGAAGCATGAATTTCAGCCAAAGGTGATAGCTTAGAATCCTCTCAGGCCTTTTCTTAGCCATGTGTCCAACCCTGTGTATGTGCTGTGAAGCAAGAAAGGTGACATGATCCCCAGGATATGTGCTATCTTTTAAAAAGCCTTTATTCCTCCATGTATCTCCTTCTCAATCTCTCCTTCCCAAGCCTTTTGGTCTGTGTTTTGTTTATTCTGAATGTCATCTCTTGCCCCCATCTCCTGCGGTCAATATTTTTGCTTTTAAATACTTACTTTCAGAAAGTCGTGCCTGGGAAGTCCCTCCAGCCCTGGGAAGCTCTGAAGTGGGTAAATCAAAACCAAGCCCTTGTGCTGATCTTTCAGGGTGCCATCAGACAGGCTAGTTAAAACACACAACTTGAAAAATAAGATATATTTTCCCCTGTTCTGGCATCACAACCTGTGTGACCTGCCTTTTTCATAGTCTCTGTGATCTGGCCAGTCAGGGATAGTACTCTTAGAGCAACTTCATTCCTCATCCAGCTTTCTGTAAATTCTTGATTGGATTCCAGAGTTCTACAAAAGTTGAGTGAGAAGGTTTTTGCTTATTTAGTTCATTTTATGGAGCCAAGGAGTTCTCTCCTGCATCATTTTCAGTAGGATCACTTCCTTCTTTACCTTTTATATCCTTTATTACATCTTTATATATTCCTTAAAAAGTATGTTTTTAAACATTATTTACTTTTACCTTTACAAAGGAGTAATATATTATACATTATCTCTTGGCTTTTCTAAACCAAATGCTATATTGCCATAATTCATGCATACTTTTGTGTGTGATATCTTTGTGTTTTGACGGGTGAATGGTATTCCAGAGTGGCACAGTTTGATTTGGCTTTTACTGTGTAAATATTGTTTGTAAACATTGAGTGTTAGTTAGTATAAGAGCTTACTCATTCTTCTAGGTATGAATCACTGAGTAGTTTTACAACACCTTGTATGTGCAACATGGTACCAACCCCTGAAGGGTATACTGGTAGGGGTGAGGCGTAGCTGATGCCTGACTCAAAAGTAAGATCACATGACTGGGTGCAGAAGTGACTGTCTTTGGACTTGGAAATGTAAGAAGAGAATTAATTAAAAATGAATGACATGCTTTTGTGGAAAATTGTGTATAAGTAGTAATCAGGAATTGAAACAACCTCTCGGGATTTCAAGCCTCAAAAGTTGGAAGATGTGTTTTGGGAGAAGGAGGTTATTCTAAGAAAAGTCTTGTTGTTTTGAAAAATGCAAATGTATAGAAGAATTTGCCTTATATGAATATCTCAGAGTGAGTTCTTTATTAGGTTATTCCTGAATCAAGGCAAGAGTCTCAAGTCTTATTTCTGATTTTGGAGATTTCTTCCTCCAACCTAGCTTCCCAGACCTCCACCTCCGTACCCAGTTATCTGCTCCCATCCTCCCAGGTGGAGTTGGGACAAATGCTTGTCTGATGTGGCTTCTTGGGTGAAGTTTCCCCCTTCCAAGGCCTCCCTTCTCCAGGATGCCTTTCTAAATTCTGCCATTCCTTTGGGGTCCAGTTTGGGTCCTGCTCTTTCCAAGAAGTCTTTCTTCCTTCTAGAATAGATGTTGTTCATGGGTGTACCTTATTTGGACTTTTGAAGTCACATATTGTGAAAATTACCTAAAAATTTTAAAAATGTATGATCAATTGTATCTTTCTTTCATGAAGAAATGGCATATGGGAGAAGTTGATGCTTAAGTTAAATTAATGAGATAAAGGAAGTAAATTTCTTTTTGAAAATATTCCATGTAGTTATTGCATCATTTAAGTTGAGGGAGCTTCTAGCCAAAGTTTAGAAATGTTTGCATGGAAGCAAGACACACCACTAGAGGTTTAGGTCACTAGAGTTGCCCTTTCTTCCCCTCCTGGCATATTCATCAGGCATGACAGCCCAGGGTGCCAGCAAAGGGTACCATCTCACCAAGGCCTTCCTTCTAGCCCTGTTGCCTTCTGGTGCTTCCTAGGACCAGGTGCTCTCAAAACTCTTGCATTGAACTGCTCAGAACATTGCTTATTGGAAACAGTTCTCCATTTTAAACTCAGACTCACTTGGGGTAAATTTGACTGAAAGCAAGAGTTAGTTTCCAAGCCAAGTTTCTACAGAGGCTCATCAACAAAGTTTCAGGGTTGAAGTGGCTGCATTGAGGTGAGATCAAATGTGAGCCTCTGACACCTTCAACTTAGGTGATCGGTGGGGCTGGGGCATGAGAGAACCATCTGTGCACAAGGAAGACTGGGGCAGTCTGTGCATAAGGGACGAGTTGATTTGCATTCATGATGGCAGATTAGGGTGGGGAGGTCCTCTGTGGGTTTGGCAGTCTCATAGCATTGACAGGATCCACTGGTTCTTTCTGAAGGGGGCGACTGAGTCTACTATTGGTAGATTGCTACTTATTTTTGCTAACTGGTAAGACTGATTATGGAAGTAAAATCTTTCAGCTAGTTGAGCTGTGGCAAGGCCTTCCATTTTATCTTTTATGAAAACTTGCTTATGGTAAGTTTCCTCACTGCAGCATCATTGTGATACTAAATAATTGGAGAAGCCAATAATATTCAAACATTGTGGAATGAATACTAAAATAATGTATGGTGCATTTGGGTGCCAAAATATGAGGTCTATCTGTAATGTAGAGATGTGAAAAAGGAGCCATTAATGTACTCTGGGGGGAGAGGAGCAAGATGCAAACCCACACTTATGCTTATAAGACACACAGTGATATCAGATATTGTACATAGACCACTTAGCAGTATCATTGGCTAATATTTATTGTTTCTGTTGTTTACTAGCCACGTGATCTAATGATCTAATTTAGTTCTCACAACAATGCTACGAGGTAGGTGATTATTTATACTGTTTCATAGCTCAGGAAACAGCAGCCTAAAGTGGCTAGGAGCCTACTCCAGGCTGCACAGAACATTCCCGTCAACACTGGGGCTCCCACTGCGAAGCCTGCACTCCAGCCACTGCATTCAGTGTACTGTTTCTTAACACGTGTTTTCTGAGAGAACGTAAGGCACACTAGTGTTTAGTAAGGGTGTTATAAGAAACTAATACATGAGATGAGAACAGAACTGAGTGCCTTCCAGATCCTTCCCTCACTCTGGATTGGGGCTAGGATGTGAAGCCCCCTGCATACATTTCTGAAGGCCCCATTTCTCTCAACCCTGGCACCTCTCCATCCCATGACATTACTATGCATTTTGGAATTCAGAGGGCAGCGCTGTCTTGTTTTCTAGATCTTAGAACTTTGGTGAGTATTTGACAATTAAAGTTTAACTTACTCTAAAAGCAAAGTTAGAACCTAATGGCTGTCAGACAGTTCTAACTGAGAGGGCAGCCAAGGCCTACAGTTCAAATTAAATATTAGCTCATATTGCTTCTAGACTTGAAGCTAATGTACCCAAAAGAAATTTACAAAGGGACAGCAATGTTGAAATATTTTAAGTACAAACAGGAAAGGTCTTGTGTGCTGACAGTGACAGTGCTTTTTTATCTAAAGTCCCAGATTGGCTCCTCATTTGCCCATCCCTCCCATTGACCTTTTCCTATCTGATGTTCAGTAGTCTTGTGCCTAAGCAATTTAGCTCCCTCTTTATTAAATACCTTTGATAAATATGCTTATGTAAAATCCCTCACATGATAATGATGTCATTTCAATGTCATTTTAATTCCCTGGAAGAATTATGCCATCACTGCTGACCAAATAGCAAAACTCAAGATTTGGAGCACTAGAATTTATACCAGAAAAAAATTTCAATATTTATATAAGAAACATAGAGGAGTTTTGTCACCAGAATTGTTAGCTAGGGCTCTTGCTTCCTGCCTTTTACTTCTCACAGTCCAACTTTGATGTGCAAGTTTTTGCCTTTTGCATTCTAGTGAGAACTGGTTTCACTATCCATTCTCACTCTGCGATCTGAGCTCCCCATTGTTCTGAGGATGTGAGAATGCAGTAGGTCAGAGGGAGGAGGAGAGGGAGAGGTGAGATGCTGCTAGTTAAGATATTATCCTTTTTCTACTTTTCTTGAATAAAGCAGAAATAATATAGAAGTTATGTGAATGTTTATTTATCACCTGGAAGCTTTGGGAAACTTAAATAATTTTCCTATAATGAATCTGTGTCTTGGAAGTCCTTTTCCAAAAAAAAAAAAAAAAAAGTTTTTCATTACCTGCCCAGGTACTTTTATTTTTTTAAATACCTTGCTTGTTAATTTGTCTGGGGGCCTCTTAAAGAAGTTAAGAGTTTAGGTGATTTCTGTTAGCAGAAAAAAGTGGACCAAAAGCTTTTTCTCTAAAATGAGTCTGTTGTATAACATCCCAGCTGGTTCAGAGTACAGGTGCACTCCTGCTCTACCCTGAGGTGGGGGAACGAGCCCAATCAAGATAAGATGTAGGGGGAGGAGAGAGTGCTCAATAGCAAAGCTGCACAGTGTTGCAACCTTAGCCTAAACCATATCCCTGGGAAAGAGTTTCTTGCTGCCTGTCTGTATCTCTGAGTAATACAGGTCCTCCCCCACCCAAAAAAACTGGGATGTTAATCCTGGAATAACCAGAGATCAGCTAGAGAGTTGAAGGAAGTGCCAGAGGAGGTTGGGTTCTGCAGAATCTATAAGGCCTTCTTCACTTTAGACCAGATGCTTAGCACTTGGAACATGAGAGCTGAGAATTGAAATTCCTCAAGGTAAAAGACTCCCCTCCCAAGAAATGGACTCTTCCAATGTTCTCACATGATTATTCAGGCACTTTCACTTTTCCATATATAGGAGTCACTCAGGAGCAAGCACTGACCAGCCGGAGGGAGTGACACGTCTGTCTGTATTCCATCTACTCCCTCCTTGCAAGCCCATCCTCACCTTGCTCTCATGTGCTCACGAGCAGTTAGGAAGAAGTGATCCCCTGTGGCTCTGCCAAAGACAAGCCTCTTGGGTTTATAGGAAAAGAAAAAAAATAATAACTCAGGTAGTCACAGCATTGAAATTGTTACCTTGGAGAAGCGGAGTGGGAAAGTGTGAGACAATGAATGGACCTGTGGATGGCTTGTGTGACCATTCTCTAAGTGAAGAAGGAGCCTTCATGTTCACATCAGAATCTGTAGGAGAGGGACATCCTGGTAAGTAGGTTGTACTGGACTGATTAACAAAGCCATCTTTCCCCACCTATGCCCAGGGAGTTACTTTTACTAGAATGTGGACTAGTTATTATCAGGGATCTCTTGTAGAAACACTATGAAAGAGTTTTGCAAAACAGTCACACATTTTAAAGCCAAAAGTCCCTGCTGCCGCACCCCATCAGCACCTCAGCATGGTGGGGCCAAGAGAACAAGAGTCTGGTTAGCTAAGAATATGTTACATGCAAAGTGTATCATTAGGTCTCAATGGTTATTGTTTTTTTTTTTATTTGATTTTGAGTAAAGCTTTAGTCTATTATCAGTGAGGTATTTGTCAACAGAGAAACAAACACCCCATTGCTGAATTCTCCTACACCAGAAAGATAAAAATTCATGTTTATTTTTCAACTCCTAAGAAAACCAACAATGGGCTTCTTAAGCCCACTGAGTGGTAGATAGAAAATTTGAAAGTCTGTAAGGATGTCCAGAATGACCTCTTAGGAATTATCTATCTGAAGAGCTATCTTGATGACTTTGACAAACTCTAGCCTGTTTTTCCCCCAGCTATGCATTTCCCTACACTAAATAGGACGTGTGAGCACATCCAGATAAGTCTGAAAATAGATTCTAGAGCTACTGATGGGTAGGCCTGAAGTGGCCACCATATATTTATTTCAGGAACTCTTAGGAGGCCTTCATTGGTAGGCAGCGGCTATGGACTCAATCAAACCTGGATTTATAACCAGAATCTGCCATTAGCAGGAGGATGGATAGAAAAACTCAAACATGTTTTCTAGCCATTTCTGAAGGAAAAATTAGAAAGTTCACCTTTAATGGCAGATTAATTAATGTCTTTAATTATAGAACTTCAAATCTGCTTTTGAAAGGTGAACTTCTTGGTTCTGGATTTGGATTCTTAACATAAAAACTAATGAATCTGAGAACAGACTCCTTGGGTTTTGAACACTGAGATGTAATACCCATAAATAGTGATCACTTTTATTTCTTCATTTGTGAGTATTCACAGTTTATATAACTCCAAAGTGGAGTGGATTTGTCTACAGTGCTGTTCAGGTATTTCCATGTTAGACCATGTAGGGACTTTAAGGCAAATAGTAGAAGACAAGGTCAAATCCCAGCTCATGTTGAACCCTTATCTGTCACAATTTGATCCAGCTACTAGGACACCTGGCTTTTGGGAGACTGAATGACCCGGGGGAAAATCTGAGAGCTGCTTAAGGAAATGTTCTGGAAAAAAAAAAAGCAATGATGTGTAGGTGCTAATGGGATTCTCATGGGTGGCACCATGAACTTGGGCGTGATGTTTTATGTTCAATGCATTGCGTTTTATGGAACGTGTGGTGCAATGCAGCTGTTTTTCCCATCTGATTTTACAACTTAGCTGCTGCTTTTACTGATGTTATTAAGGATTTTAACTTCTATTTCTAGGACTTTTCTAGACGTTGGATTAAAGGGAACAGGTTGAAGAATGAGGTACTTTTAATTAGAAAAGAGAAAGGGGATTGCTTTCACAGCTGATTTGAAATGTATTTCCTTCTTTTAGGGAATTATATGATTTTTATAAAATACATGCCATCCAAAATTAGAAAGTAATGAGAATAAATAAAAATTTCAACAGATTTTTCATTTCTTATACTTAAGAAAGTTTCCTCTTTGATAGGTAGATTTGATATGTAAACTGACAAAATATTGAATTATTTTAAACTTTCAGTTTGCCACACCTATTATTTGTATAATACTCACCCATGGTTGTTCTTATCAGATAAGATCTGTGACCAGATCAGTGATGCAGTGCTGGATGCCCACCTCAAGCAAGACCCCAATGCCAAGGTGGCCTGCGGTAAGAGATGTGATCCCTTCCTACTGGAGGCACTAGTGGGCTGGGCTGACAAGTTCATAGTGGACCTAAGATTGCAGAGTCATATTCCTTAGTTCCAATATCCTCTGGTTTGGAGGGGATTTCTTTATTATGTGACTTTCCCTATGTTGAATCAGGGAGGAAGAACATATCTAACCATGAAACAAATGGGTCATTATCTCCAGCAAGAATTTGGCTCTCCCTGACCCTTGGTCCTGCTGGGAGGGGGGCGGGGAGGGGGGCCTTTCAGAGTTCTTAGATGAATCCTCCAGATGAGATGAAAGAGCTTGAAACAATGCTAGCTACCTAGCTGGTCTTGATCTGCAGCCTTTTTTCAGGTACCTTTGATGGCTATGCAGATGTCTGACTCCTCCCATTTCCTTCCCTAGCTCATGGAATGACTTAGGTGTTGAAATGATTTATACCTCCCATTTCATGGCAGCAGAGGGCAGCAGTTTCATCAATTGTCCATAACTAACCCAATCGTTTTCCAAAGAGACACTGAACAAAAGCACTAAGCCCTGGTCCTCACCTGTTTCCTTCATTGTTTCCTGGAGGATCATGAAGCCTGAAGAGTTTCACTGGTATTTGTAGGATAAGTTCTTCAACAGCAACCTTATTCCTGGGCTGAATGACTTGGGACACAGCAGAGCCAAGGACTCTAGAGCCCAGAGGGTCCAGTCCAGCCCACTCACTTCACTGATAGGGTCATAGTGCTGACTGTGCCAGAGCCTGACGAAGGACATGGAGCAGTGGGCCAAGCACAGAGACCAGAGCCCACTGTCCTCATGTCAGTACTGTGTGCTATCCACTGCATAGACCCATTCTTTGCTGTCTGGTGGCATCCTAGCCCCTGTGTTGAATACTTCAGAGCCCATGCCCCTCTGAAGGTAGTGTGTACCTTCACATCTTCATAAATAGCTCAAGAGAAGATTGCAGGATCTTGATCCCTCAATCAAGATCCTATTGCCTACAGCCTGCAGTGGAGTTCTGGAATGGGGGTGGGGGCAGGGGAAGCTCACATACTTTCACTGTGACAGCTACGTACAACCACTGTCTCATTTAAATCCATACAGCATGTTATTAACCTCATGAAAGAGTTGAGGAAACTGAAACTTGAGTTCAGTAAGTGGTCAAGGATCACAGAAGTAGTAAGGACTTGGCATAAAACTCAAGTGTAACTGGTTATTTCCAAAGCATCCCTCTCCAGGAGGCTTTTGAAGATGCTCAGTTCTTAGTACTGGAATTACATGTTTTACTGGCACTATCAGACTGGGATCTGTTCCTTATAAAGTCTTCTTCTCTACATTGTGAGAACTTCAGATACTTGAGTTTCCCTCTGCTGGCACATGGCTATAACCACCCCTCCTTCCCTTACAGAGACAGTGTGCAAGACAGGCATGGTGCTACTGTGTGGAGAGATCACCTCGGTGGCCATGGTGGACTACCAGCGGGTAGTGAGAGACACCATCAAGCACATTGGCTATGATGATTCTGCCAAGGGTGAGGGCAGGCCCTGGGTCTGGAAAGCATATAGGTCTGCTGAGAGAGCCCCTGGCCCCTGCTGAGTCCAATCAGCCTTCAGCACGATGGCAGTTCAGATCATGCTAGGATAAACAGCATCCCTAGATCCATCTGTCAGGTTCCAGGGGTCAAAGGCTCTGGCCAAAGTATGGCAGCCTGCAGTTGGAAACCAGCACATGCCTATCACAATTGATGGGTCTCGTTTAAGGTTCTGTCCTCTTGGTGCTGGGAGAGGCTCTGGAAGAGAAAAAAGCCCCTAATTAAGGGAGCTGCCTTCTACTGGGAACACGGTCTCTGCCAGGTACTGGTGCTAGTCTCTGTATGCATGGTCTCATTCCATCATTCCAGAAACTCTGGTATACTTCTTATGCAGACAAAGAGATGGAGGTTTAGAGAGGTAAACCATTTATCTATGATACCACAATCAGTGAGACGCCACCAGGTTTGGGACTCTATGCTGTCCACTAAACTACACTGCTTCCCATGATAGACATAGAGAAAGAGAACTCAGTACAGCACTGGGATTGATAACAGGTGAAAAGGACAGTCTGGTTTTGTTGGCAGGGGGTATGGGTGGGGAGGCCAAGACTTAGGAAAGAGGTACAGGCCAGCCTAGCAGAAAACTGAGGAAAAGCACCACTAACCAGGCAGAGTGAGAGTAAGGAAGAACTGAAGGAAGGCCTTGAAGCTGATTCCAGCATCTATGCCTGGGTAGGTCAGAAAGTAGCACCATTTGAAAGCAGAACAGCTGTGTCAAAGGACCCAAGGTAGCATGAGGACCTGTGCACAGTGACATTCCATGAGAACTTCAAGGGCCCCTTATCTACACTGACTTCCTAGGTAGAACTCTGGCCCCAGTTCTTAAAGATTCCAACATAGCTTCTGGAAGGAGATATTCAGGCAATTCCTATTTTAAAGAAAATTCCTTTTGGATCTCTGTTGGCTCAATTCCTGGAAGGCACTGTGAAAGGCATAGCGACCTTAGGCAATGACAAGAAAATCCACTTCCAGACCAATGTTCCAAAACTGATACCTGTAAACTAAACTAACAAGAAGCAGCGTGACTGTTGGGAGCGCTCATTTCTGCCTCTGTCATACATTGGTTGCTCAGGGTGACCTGTGACATCTTTGTGAGTTGGGGAAGCAGAGATGCCTGTACCCTACATTTATAAGTGAGAGGATGCGTGGTGATGTAGAAACTCAATCCTGTCACAGTGTGATCTGGCCCAAAGCACACATGAGCAATTAAAGTCACTCAAATGCATAAAACTTTATTTTGGGGGTGAGGGGTTATGTGTTAAGAATCACTGGGAGAAGAAGTGAACACAAGTTAATTTTCCCAGTCAAGACATGAAGAATTCATAGAAGAAACTCATTGCCCCAGAGCAGCAACATCTTAGGAGGTTATAACATAGAGCCCATCCCCCTGCTCTAACACAGCAAGCCAATTTGTTTATATACATTTAGACCTTATTCAAAAGCAAAACTTGTTCTGCATTAGGTAGCTGAGAAATTTTTCAGGAGCTAATGTCCCCTAGAAAGGGAGAAGTGAAAGACGGCCCAGTTCTTGCCGAATTGTGCCCACTTATCTGGGTTTCCTCTTCCAAAGCTTGTGGGTGGCCTGTGCCAAAGGGAGTCTCTCGGGATGGTTCATATACATGGTATTTATTGGGTGTATTGAATACTGGGGTTAGGCACACACACATGGGTTTCTGAATGATGGTGTTGCAAAGGCCCTTGACTTTCACCCACTCTAGGGATTTTCATACATGGGTCTGGAGACTTGCTCTTGAGAACCTAAAGAGACAAAGCCACAAATCACCTGCCTGCTAGTCAGCCAGAACAGCTGCAGAGCTAACTGGTTTTTATGTCCCAGTTTTGTGTTGCATATATATTTTTACCAAGGTGGAATTAAACACAGTAAAGTGTACCTGGGGTTTGAACTCAAGGCCTCAAGCTTGCTAGGCAGGTGCTCTACCACTTAAGTCAGCCTTCAGCCATTTTTTGCGTAGTTATTTTTCTGATAGGGTTTTGCTTTTCTTGCCTGGGCCCACCTGGACTGCAGTCCTCCTGCTTCATGCCTCCCACATAGCTGGGTTAACAGGCTTGCACCATCATGACCAACTATTGTTGAGATGGAGTCTTACAAACTTTTTTGCCATGGCTGTCCTCAAACCACAATCCTCTTGAGCTCCACCTCCTGATTATCGAGGATTACAGGCATGAGCTGCCATACCTAGCTGAGAATTTTTTTTTTGAAAGAGCACCACATGAACTGGGGCATGGCTCAAGTGGCAGCGTACCTGTCTAGCAAGTTCAAGGCCTTGAGTTCAACATGTAGTACCACCAAAAAAAACAAGAGTTCCACATGATTATAGGGAAGGATACATGGCCTTTCCACACCATCCTGGGCCTAGACGACCTCAGCCAGTTAGAAACCAACTACCCTGACACTAAATGCCATGACAGGATCTGAGCAACTCCCCAGGAAGCTCCCAGCTCTGTCTATCTGACCATGTCCCCACTCGGACTTGCTTTCCCTTCCGTCCAGGCTTTGACTTCAAGACCTGCAATGTGTTAGTAGCTTTGGAGCAGCAGTCCTTGGATATTGCCCAATGTGTCCATCTAGACAGAAATGAGGAGGATGTTGGTGCAGGAGATCAGGTATCTCAACCGTGTGTGTGGCAACTGTGTGGGGACATCATGCCAGTGTAGTCTGTCTTGGACCAGTCTATGGCCCAAGGCGGAGGAGCTAGCTGGGAAATTCATGAGAAATGGATTGATCATGCTGTTGGGTAGAGCCGTCATCCTAGCATGGGAGCCTGGGAGAAGCATGCCTGCAGTCAGTTGCACGCCCCTGCTTCAAGACGTTCATACTTTGGAGTATGGCCAGGTTGTGGAAGGCTGTGATTGCTAATGCTTGACGTGAGCTTAGCTCCCCTTCTACAGCTGGGGAGATAAGGGATGAGGTCTTCCCCTTCCACAATGCTCAGTGCAGTGTGCCCTGTAAATGTTGAAACACAGAACAATGTTAGATTTGGAGAAAGCTGTTGTCCTGTTGGTCTAAGATAGCTGTTACCTAGTCTGCCCTGATGTTCGGCTACAGGGTTTGATGTTCGGCTATGCCACCGATGAAACAGAAGAATGCATGCCCCTCACCATCATCCTTGCTCACAAACTCAATGCCCGGATGGCGGACCTGAGGCGCTCAGGTGTCCTGCCCTGGCTGAGGCCTGACTCCAAGACTCAGGTGAGCTGCTCCCTTGGCCTCCTACAGGGATCTCACAAAAACTGTTAAGCACCCTGGATCTTCTTGATCTCTGCCATTTTTAAGATCAAAATGTTTGGTTTAGGCACTTGATGAATTATCTATTTCAAAAAGAATTATTCATTTGAAAACTCTTTCAGTCTAGATGTACCTCCCACCCTTACACCCACCATATTTAATTATAAAAAATTTTTAGAATGCAGAAAGTTGCAAGAACAATTCTAGATCTTTTTTCCTTTGTTAACATATATAGACTACATTGATTTTCCCAACTCCTGCCAGACTTATTTCTATACCAGTTTCAGACATGGTGGTCCCTGCCTTTATGTATGCGCAGATATCCCCATCTTGAACACGCTGTCTGTGCTCTGTTTTCCCACTGTGGCCCTTTGACTTGCCTTTGCTTCTCATTAAAAGGCTTTACCTTTGCTATGTTCAGTTCCAACCCCGTGGGCCCTGACCTCCCGACTTCCCACAGTGTTGAAATCCATCCTGAATTCCCTATTTGAAGGCCACTGGTGATGCAAGCATTAGCACACATGGACAACTCCTGCCACCTTCACTCCCCACACTGCTCTCTGTTTAAGCCCGATGGCCCTTTGCCAGTGGCCGCCTGCCCTGGCTCCTCTTCCACATTCTGATATGTGATGTCCCAAGGTCTTGCAGCTCTTCCCCCATGTGCTTTCTCCCTCTGTTCACGCTTGTGGATCCCATTTTCCCCTTCATACTCAGCTCCTAAATCTGCCACATGCAAGGCAGAGGCTGCATATTAGCTGCACCTGGGACAAGGAAGTATGTTTGTGGCCCAAAGAGACCCCCCTCTTTGCGATGTCTTGCACTATCCACATAACCCCGAAGGTGGAAGGTAGGGGGTCACCAGCAACTCTCAGATGTTGGTTGTGGGGCAGAAGAGCTAATATATGTAGATTATGGTGATACCAAAAGAAAGGGCACAGAAATATGGTGGGCCCAGCCCAACCTGCTCTGGAATGGTTTTACAATTTAAAAACAGAGCGGAAAGACACAGAAAAGGAAATCCTTAAACAGATGGGAGGAAGCCAGTGGGGTTCACTGAGTTTTCCTTTCTCTCGGGTCAAACAGAGGAATGGAATGATCACCTGTCAGACCCAACTGCAAGGAAGGGCCTCCATCATTTTGCTTGGATAAGGAAGGAAGGAAGGGACAAAGGGGTCTCTGAGAGTTCTCCTTCCTGTCACTAAATTCTCTTAAGATGCCATGATGGATGTCTGCATAGGTATGAGGCTGGCCTTACCCCACTGCCACAGGGAGCCATAAGCCATCTCAAGTCGGAGGGTGTGGGCTACTGATGTTGCTCTGTGCAGACCCCTCAGCCAGGCATTGGGTAGCCCAGTGCCCTCCCTGAGTGACCTCTGTGCCAGGGGCACTGTGAGCAGAGAAAGCAGGCCTCCTCTGGCCCCTGTTTGTGAAGGATTTTCATCATCTGCCATGTGGACTGTGAACAGGATGAGTCTTTCCACCTGAACAAATTATTACTGCTGATATGGAGAATTGGGTGGCAGTAGATGGCTATTTTTGTACCAGGTCAGAGCTTTGTTTTCCATGGTGTATTTTTTCCCATATCTTGCTGACATGATGAGATAAGAGCAGAGCTCTGGCCTTTTGCTCTGCCCCCCTAGTTCTGCAGTTCTACAAGGATACAACATGGGGTTGCCAGATGGGGATAAAGTAACCCAGGGAGCAGTGGAGCCAAGCCAGGCAGGGGCAGTTCCTCAGTACTGAACCTCCTCCAGATACTCCATGAGGCCCCCTATGGTCTTAGAGCCTGCCACAAATCTCTTCTCTTGGGATCCCTGCCCCAACTCCAGTTCCCTCTCCTGAGCCCCCCAGTATGGTCAACCCAGCATTTAAGGGTTAGTCTTAGGTGACAGTGTGCATCTGTTCATCTCACTAGGTTCAGGCAGCAAGTGACCAGGGCTCCTTTTTCTCCCTTCATCTGGATCCCACCCCATTGTTCTTTGAACCAACAGGACATAGAGCTGGAATCTGATACAGACCCAGCATTTGATGGATGTCTGAGGGGCCTTGGGTAGGCAGAGATCTTGGTGTAGAACAGCCCCAGGGAGCTGCTACTTGCTGTCCTGTGATCCTGACAAGGTCTGGAGTAGAGCAGTCTGTGCCTGCTGGCCAGTGTCCCTAACAGGGTATCTGGCATAGATGCGCTCCCAAAGTTACCACATACCCCTCAAGCTCTCTGAGCACATTTTCACTTGACCTTAGGAAGCATCAGCCCATAGCCTAGCCCATGACTCGGGGTCTTAAGTGGTAACCTTCTGGTGGACAGAGCCCCAGCTATCAGGCCACAGATCTCTAGGTAAGACCTCAGCTTTTACACGTGATCTTGACCAAGGCATTTGCCTTCTGGATCCTCAGCTTGGTTGTCTGTAGAATGGGGTAGTAACAGCCTCTAAACCTTGGCGTGGCTTCCAAGCATAGGAAGCATGCCCAACCCAATGCTGATCTCGCTTCCCACCTTATCTGCCATCCTTACCACCTCCTCCCACTCACTGTGCAAACCCAGGGGGCCCAGGCTTCTTTTCTTTGTCACCAAAGGAACAGTCTGTAACATCAGGCCTCTGGACTCAGTGATGTGACAGAGTCTCTGTCCTCTGCTACAGTGGGAGTGGTGTAAGATTTTGGATCAGGCTGAGCAAGGTTTGGCTCTTTGGCCTTTCACAAACTGGTTTATGACATCAGACAAGTTGTTCACTCCCCTTGACTTTGTTTTTCTCATTTGTAAAGTGGGGAATAATTGGCAGAGATCAGGAGGATTAGGGTTCGAGGCCAGCCTGAGAAAACAGTTAGCAAGACACCATCTCAACCAATAAACTGGACGTGGTGGTGCAAACCTGTAATCCCAGCTATGTGAGAGGCTGTAGGTATCAGGTTTGTAGTCTGAGGGTAGCCCCAGGCAAAAATGTAATACTATCTGAAAAATAAAGCAAAAAAGGATTAGGGGTGTGACTCAAGTGGTAGAACATCTGCCTAGCAAGTGTGAAAACCTAAGTTCAAACCCCAGTACCACCAAAAAGGGCGATTATAACGCCTCCCTCTTAAACAGTAGTTGATAACACACAGGAGGGGCACAGAACCGGCCACAGTAGAAACGAAGTTTGGATACAGGCTAGGTTTTCACGGGCAGACACCCTCACACTAGGGGCATTCTGTTCTTTCTTTTGGCAAAACACCCAGGTGCTGGCAGTCCAGAGCTTGCTGCCTTTCTACCTCAGCTACCCTGACCAGGTGTCCTCGCACCCTGTCCCTACAGCAGGCAAGTCCACAGGCCCCATACATGTGTAGGGTTCCTCCACTGAGAGTGTTGGGGCCACCCGCCAGGCTCCTCCCTTCTGTCTCAGAGGCTCTGGATGACAACAAAAATGCCCCTGGCCAAAGCCAGGGTTACTTCACGGCCTAGGGCCATGATACCCCTGCCCATTTCAGTAACAGGTGGTTAATGAAGTCCTGTACTCACTGCCAGGAGCAGGGGCACTTTGACCCAAGGCCATGGAGGGTGAAAGAAGGGCGTTGGCACCTAGCAGCCTCTAGGGTAGAAGGGGAGGAGCCTGGTTGGTCACAGGTGAAAAAGGCAAGACTCCAAGCAGCACTCATTGTGATCACCCCAGGGAATAGCTGTGCCTTATGCCCAGTCATCCCATAATCATGGGCAAGTTTTCAAAGGTAAAAATGTGTCATATTAACTTTCTGAAGGCCCTCTGAGGACAAGAGTCCCCACTGGCCCCCTCCTGGGGATCTGTGACCAGCAGCAATGTGTCTCGGCTCAGGCCTCGGCCTCACAGTGTCTCCCCTGCCCTTCTGATGGACAGGTGACAGTTCAGTATATGCAGGACAACGGTGCAGTCATCCCAGTGCGTATCCACACCATCGTCATCTCCGTGCAGCACAATGAAGATATAACACTGAAGGCCATGCGCGAGGCCCTGAAGGAGCAGGTGATCAAGGCCGTGGTGCCAGCCAAGTACCTGGATGAAGACACCATCTACCACCTGCAGCCCAGTGGGCGGTTTGTCATCGGAGGTCCCCAGGTGTGTCCTTGTCTCTGAATGGGCCCAGTTGCTGGGGCTGCCTATGTCTCAGAGGACATAGAAAGCAAGAGACAGCTCTAAGTGGCTCAGGCCAGTTTAGCCATGGACTAAATGTGAAATCTGTCAATCTTGGCCTTTGTACATTGGATGCACTCTGTGGGGTCTGTGCGGTACATGAAGAAGTGGTGACAGACTCTTAGGAGTCTCCCACTTAGTGCCACCTGGCCCTCCCACTCTAGCCATCATTGATGACATCATGACAGTCACAGCTACCACCATCTTTCCCTGCTCAGGCTCTCATCACAGCAGTGCTTGATGGTGGCTCACCCTCCCCTGGTGGCACCTGCTAGGTATTTGCCATGGCTGCCTCCAGCTCTTTTGGGCACCACAGCAGATCAGGGGTTTTATGGGAGCAATATCTGCTTCCCCTTTCATCTGTATGCACACCAGATGGAGGAGGTGATGGCTGGCACCTCTGAGAGGCAGCCCAGAGCACCGCAGCTGTGTTGTCACAAGGTTGAGCCCCCATAATGGGCTCTGTGAGCAAGTGTGGAGTGTGGAGACTCAGGGTAAAAGGAAGGTCAAGGTTATTGTTTTCCTGCAGGACATCTCAAAGTCTAGACATATTGTGAATCTCTACAAGGGGAGGCTCGGGTAAGCAGACTCTCCCCAAACCATTTAATATAGAGCGCCCAGCACTTCAAATGAATCTTCACTGACCGATGTTGCACAGAGCAACTGAGGAGGTTCACAGCCTGGCATTTGCTGGTGGTACCAGCCATGCCACAGCTTGGGGCTGTACCTATTGCAATGCAATTCCTACTGTAAGTTATTTTTCCTTGTGATTGCTGTGACTCTAGATGGTCTCTGTCCATCTTCTGCACTTCCCAATGAAGCTTTGACAGCTCACCTGGTTTCTGAGGCTTGTCAGTAACAGAACTGCAATGAAAGCTGAAAGCTCGGGTTTTGTGGCTGATTCCTTTGAAAAGCTTTGGGGCATTCTCTCTGAGGGCTTCAGCCCCTCCAGTCACTCAAGGGCTCTGGTTTTCATTCTCCTCTGTTTCCTTCCCTCTGCAGGGAGATGCAGGAGTCACTGGCCGTAAGATTATTGTAGACACCTATGGCGGCTGGGGGGCTCACGGTGGTGGGGCCTTCTCCGGTAAGGACTACACCAAAGTGGATCGCTCAGCAGCTTATGCTGCCCGCTGGGTGGCTAAGTCCCTGGTGAAGGCAGGACTCTGCCGGAGAGTGCTTGTCCAGGTAGGTCACTCCCTTCCACCCTCACTCTATCTTCCTGTCCCTGCTGAAGGCCCAGGCCTATCTCCTCCTGAAATAAGGAGATGTTGACCTGGTGGGAAAGCCACATAATTGTCCATGGTTACCGCTCTGCGTATATTGTTTTGGGCACTGTGGCCAGCCCCTGGAAGGCTGGTGGGGAGAACAAGTGTTCAGGAAGAGGAGCATGTGCAGAAACGGTGCTCCGCAAAGGCATCAGGGCAGGTGGGCAGACGAGGTGGAGGTCCTGTTGGATAGGAGAATCATGGTCCCGGACGTCCCTGCCCAGAGCCAGAGGGGTCTCTGAGTGGGCTTCAGTCCCTGAGCTTGGCCTTTCTGGAAGGTATCCTATGCCATTGGTGTGGCAGAGCCACTTTCCATCTCCATCTTCACCTACGGGACCTCAAAGAAGACAGAGCGGGAGCTGCTAGAGGTGGTGAATAAGAACTTCGACCTCCGGCCAGGTGTCATTGTCAGGTAAAAAAATGACATCAGGATGCTATCACGTAGGACCTTGCCCCTCCCTGTCCAGATGGACAGCTCAAGTGGAGGGAACCAGTCTCTTATAACAGAAGTCTCAAGCACTTGGTTCAGCCCTGTGTGCCCCAGCACAGATGTCTGGTTTTCAGGTTGAAGGAGGCCATGTGAGATCCCCACTGGATCACCATACACTAACTCCAGTGGGGCATCTTTGAGCAACTAGGGGAATCTTAAGAGGCTAGGAAGCCAGTAGTCAAATCCATTCCCACGTGTTCTCATGACATCCCTGTTATTTGGAGGTTGGCCATGAGGACATGGACACCAGGCCGGTGGAATGGACTGGAGTGGAGAAAGCCCCATAGGGCAGATGTCAGATCCTGGTCTCTGGTGCATGTGTGAACTGAGCTGTTTGAACCCCCGAGCTTCTGTTTCCTAAGCTCCACAGCAGGACTGTGCCGTGCATAGATAAGATACGCGTGCGGGCGGTGAAGCCCTGCACAGGGTTGCCCCTAGAGTCTTTCATTTGCTCCTGTGCATAAAGTGCAGAGGAAGAAACCCTGCTGCTTTTCCATTTTAAATGACCTTTACTTCTGCTGAACATGCAGGGATTTGGATTTGAAGAAGCCTATCTACCAGAAGACCGCATGCTATGGCCATTTCGGAAGAAGCGAGTTTCCCTGGGAAGTCCCCAAGAAGCTCGTGTTTTAGAGCTGGTGGGAGCTGGGGCTGGCCCTGTCCCAGGTGTTCCTCTTCTCCAGGATCCCAGCTTACCCCACCCTTAGGCCAAAGCCAGGTCCCTCTGTTTTCACCCCATCCAGTAATCACCATAAATGGCAGGCAGCAGGAAGCTTCCTGGTGCTGGGGGCCAGGGCTTCTTACAAGGATTGTCACAGTGTTCCCCTGTCTGTCCTGCAGACCAGGCAACGTTGATTTAGTTGAAAAGCTACCCTGGCAGGAACGAAGTCCCTCACTTGTCTCCCCTCACAGTCTGGCCCTCCCCCACATATGTGCCCAGGTTAGTGTATCATAGACTCCAAAGTTCCTGTGGACCTGAGCACAGTGGCTTCCTTCAAAGCTTTGGCCAGCACCCCTGAGCCAGCGCCTTTGAAAGGTACCTTCCAGGCTGGGTATCTGCCGGGGTAACATAGCTGGTGTCTCCTGGGTACCTGCAGTGTATATGTGACTGCTATTTAGTGACTGATCTCAAGTCTCCTTCACCACAGCATCATGAGGTGGTGCCTTTTATTATTCCCATCAACAAATGGGAGAAACTGGGGCAGAGAGAGTCTAAGTAGCTTTCACAAAGTTCTACAGCCACATGTGTCAGGGCCTAGTAAATCTAGAGCTTTGATTGTGTAGCCTGTAGATCCTCGTCCCATACCAAAAATAGACCTAATTAATGACAAAGTGAGTTAAGAGAGGCTGGGGGCTCTGTCCCGAAGGGGTCAGGCTCACTGGGAATTAGGAGATTAACCCATCAGCACTCAGCAAGCCCTGGACAGTGCTATACAAATTCGGGATGAGCCTAAGAACTGTTGAGTTGCCTCACTTGTTCTATACCTGGGCATTCTGACCTGTCAGTCTGGACTGGAATTTAGAATTAAGAAGCAACCTATGATCCCATCCCCCACCACTCAGAGACATGCAAAGGTTTGGTGTTTTGGACCGCTGTGATATGTGGTACTAGTCATGTCCTCTCCCACCTGGGCATCCTAAGAGCAGGGACAACAGCTTGCCCTAACACAGGTGGCTGGCCCTCAGACAGGCTCCTGTGTGCTTCAAGTCTTTCTCCTTCTCTGGCCTTTGTGCCCTCTGTAGTCTGAGTACTGCTGGAGTAAGTGGGAGGGCTCCTATATGCCCCGCCCAGAGAAGCCAGTTCTCAGGCCCAGACACCTAGTGTGACCAAAGCACAGGGCTGGCCTCATGATGGTAGACAAGTTGCCCAAGATGTCATGAGGAGATTCTGCCTCTACCAGGTGGCTTTTGGGATATAGGTGTGTTCTTGAAGGGCCTGAGTGGTCTCTGACCCATCAGGATCCTAGAAGCTACGCACTCCTCTGCCTTTCCATCATGGCTGGCTCCACTTGCCCCACCCATTCTCCACCTCTACCTCACACAGCAGACCTGCACCTTTTCCCCAGCTCCCAGGGATGTGGGCTAGGGAAGGGGCCTCTATGGCTTCTTTCTAGGGCACACAGCACTGGTTCTGGCCAAGAGAGGTAGCCTAGGCAGCCTCCCTTAGGGAGAAGATGCCTTGTATCTGTGCCTAAAGCTTCACCAAGGAAAGGAAACTGCAGGAGGGAAAAATAATAAAAAACAACCAAGCTCCAATTTCTATCAAACTCTGTGACTTTGTCTCCAGCACCAGAGGGAGGGCCAGATGTATAGGTGGCCTTCTTTCTCTAACCTGAGCTATATTCAAAATGGAAATTCAGAATTTTCTATATTCCCTACTCCCTTAGAGAAATGAGATCTGTCTTGTCAACACTGTTCATACAAAACTAAAGTCTTTGTTAATAGTTTTTGCTGGATCGGTGAATAAAAAATTCAAGAAGCAACTACACTGCTTAGTTTTTGTTTGCAAAACCCCAGAAATGCCTGGCTGTGAAGCAATACCTGACTCCCCCCACACACACCCCACACCCACCTTTGAGAAAGTTGTCTATCCTCTGGGTTACCCCAACTGGACCTGTGTGGGGAACTCCACTCCCATGGACTGAGGTTTTCTCATCCACCAGATCCTGTGTTGTCACTGCATTGCTGTAGTTGCTCCATGACCCTCTGAAGTAGAGACCTGAGACAGCTGGGGATGTGAGAAGGGCATTGTGATAGCCAGTAGCTTCTTAGTCTCAGAGCATTTTCTTGACTTTATGGTCAGCCTGTCTGTCTTATTCTACCCCTTCACTCAGGCCATATCTGTTGAATGCCTGAATAAGTGATTGAAAGTTGTATGCAGTGAGTGGGTAAAAGGGAGTGGCCTACAGTGAATAAATGATTTCAGGGGTGCAGCCTGCAATGAATGAATAATTCAAGGGCCGTGGTCTGCAGGGAGTGAATGGTTTCTGAGGTGTGGTCAGCAGTGAATGAGTGAAGGGTGTGGGTGGGCATCGCTGATCCAAGACTTTCTGCAGGCACTCATTATTTCCCTTTCACATTTCCCACATTTTCAGCTGGGAGGAGAATAACCAAGTGACCCTTTACTAGAAGACTGTCCCTGCATGGAGCCCTGGAGGCTTTGCTGGAGCAGAAGGGGAGCTGGGACTTCTGCAGTTTCCTATAAGCAGGTGGTGGAGGGGTGTCTGCTCTGGGGCACATGGGCATAGGCTGAGGTGAGTTCTGTGTGTCTCCTCCCAGCCCTTACTCCATGAAGACCTGACCTGGGTTCCAGGAAGGACAGAGATAAAGCAAAGGTCAAAGACAGGTCTCAGAGTCTTGTGTGAGAGAGACTCTGTGCCCAGAGAAGCCATACGGGGATTGCAATGTGATATTTGCATTACAGAAAGTCACACACATTTTGCAAGAACACAGAAGCAGCAAGACCTTATCTGTGGGCAAAAAAAAGGCAAAATATGCACTGAAAGAAAGAAAAGAGGACAACTTTTGAGCCATGGAGTCCTCAAGTGTCAAAATATTAGTGAAATGTGGAAGGGCAAAGGTGGTTAGGAGGGAGAGACTGGTAGGGAGAGGACTCTAGAGGTGGGGATGTACTTAGGAATCCAGTGACAACTGTTTCTGAGCTGTTTGAGGAATGATGCTATGAGTTACGAGATGTGAGACCTGGGAAGGTCCAGAGAATTCAGCTGTGTGGAGTTTATTGGTGGTTTAGAAAATGGCAGAATTTATTTAAAAATGTAAATATGATAGTGTTCCTAATCATTGAGTACACCTAAATCCATTCAGAACACAAAATCTGTGCCTAGGCTGTCACTACT